TTAAAATTCCTAATTCATAATGAAACTATAGACTTAGATTTTGACTTCACAAACATCTAACTTGAACCAGTGCTGCATTCAACATACCACGTGACACACAAAAATCGATGTTTATCTGTGTTTTTAATATTGGCTTTTAAATTAAGAAATTGAGCAATATATAGTGTTACAATTTGAATTATAATCTACAGTTTGATACCAAACCTATTGACATAAATTCATGAAATAGTAGTTCAATAAAATTTTGAATGCGAGTCAACAAACGAGATGTCATAGCTTTTCACCCATGACCTGTCTCGAAAAGGTTAAAGGCCTGAAATTATCCTTGAATTTACTCAGTCTGAGATAAAAAGTACTTTACAAATTAAAAGCCACAGATTTTAATTAAAGCAAATATAAAATTTACTGATCTATCAAAACTCAAAAATTTTTGAAAATTTACAGAAAAAAATAAAACTTGATTAATATGTACCTAAGGATGATTCATTTCTTTGTGGAATTTTGTGCAAAGCTCCATGAGGGCTATTTGCACTACCCGTCCCTAATTTTGAAATGACAGACTAAAGGGAAAGCAGCTAATAAACACAACCCACTTTAAACTTTTAGGCTGCCATTGTCAGACTAAATAGTGGGATTTGACCATCATTCTTCTAATGCACACAAAGCAGTAATGTATGAAGTGATATTTTTTTTGTATTTGCCAGTAACATGGTGCAACATGTGGAACCTCAGATCATTAGCCACTGGGCATTGCTTACCCTCCTAATGATGGTACCTATAAGAAAACAAATATTATGAAATTGTTTTTATCTTTACTCTTTTATGGATAATATAATGTTTACATATTTGTATTATTTTGTGATATTTAATATTAACAAAGCACTATCTGAAAAAACAGCATAAGATTGAAAAACAATAAATATATGAAATGTAAAACCAAAAATAATTGTTCAGATGTAGCATTTTGTAAACTTTAAAAAATATTATTAAACAAAGAATATCCAATTTCAACTTACAAGTCACAGTACGAACAAAACAAGAAAACTTTTCTCCAGCTTTATCTGTATGTTGAGAGATAGCATTATAAATTGTAAAAATGACATTTCCATCCTTTCGTTCTAATCCATCTTCACTGAAAATAGTTTGCACTTGACCCCAGGAGTCTTCATCCACAAACTTGTGAATTCTAGTCAGCAGGTTTGTTTCAAACGAGTTATTCTGGCTTGAAAGAAACTTACTACGCTGTTGGTTACTTAACATTTCTAGTTTATAATGGATCTTTTTAGCATCAGCATACCTCCCAACTTTATTCAGAACTGATATAAAGTTTCTGATTCCATCAGAACTGAGATGAGTGAAATCTGAAGGAGGCAGTTTGTCTACAAGAATCAAGGGTAAGTTACAAAGGTAGGGATTATGATGAAGTTCTTGAAGACCAAGATCTAGAATATCAGAAGGAATTTGAATATGACAGTAACTGACACCATACATCATCACTGGAAAAATTTTGCTCCAGTCTCGCATGTGTGTCATGAAAGCATGCATTAAGATTTGAATTGCTTTTGGATGAAGGCTAATCTTGTTCTCAGAACAGAGCTGGAAGATGTCCCATAGTGCATCCCTAGTGTGCTCCATGCATTCTTCACATAACGATATTATTTCACTACAAAAACTGCCATCCACAAGAAAAAGCTTTCTGATATACTGCACTACAAACTTAACTCGTCCTGACTGCTTCAGTTTCACAGAGGAACTAGCCAAAATACGAAGTAGTTGTTTAATGAAGTGAACTTGTTGTCTAAGATATACTTTTTGAAAGTCCTGAAAGGCCTTATTTAAAGTGCCTTGTTCGCAGGACTTCTTGATGTGTTGAAGAATTATTGCCTCTGATTCATGAGCAAGATCCTAATAAGGAATATCATAAAATATAATAAAGTGAATTCTTAACTGTATCTAAAGTTAACTGATAAAACATTGCTAATAACATTATTAATAATGTGCCATTGAAACATAAAAATACTGCTTGTGGATCTTTTTAACCGAATTCTGATTACATTGTATCCAGCCAACTGAAAGCTGTGGACTTGATTCATTAATGGATTCTTAAATTTTCAATTATTGCTAGGACAATAATAAAAACATAAAATATCATTACTCATGTAATATTGTTAATTCCACAAAGGCAAATACCATTATTTGTGTTATATTACAAGGATATAAAACACAATTACTCATTCAATGGTTAAAAATACCACAAAAAACAACAACAAAAACATTGTTAAATACATTATTCTGGATATGCTACAAAGGTATATAATATTGTTCATTATATAATACTTTTAGTAGTACAATAATAAAGATTGTTAGTAACAATGCTGTTGCTATTAAAGTTAAAAAGAGATAAGAAAAAGAAAACATTACTTGTGTATCACTACTAATGCAACAAAGACAAACATTGTTAATGACATTAGTGTTACACAACAAGGACATAAAACACCATTACTAGAGTAACAATGTCAATGCCATAAAACACAATTTTTAATGTAATACTGTTAATGATACTAGAGTTGTTATCTTACAAGAAGATAAAATACCATTACTCACGTAACACTACTAATGTCCCAAAGACAAACAATGTTAATGATGTTATTTTGATATGCTACAAAGACAAAAAAATGTTACTTACAAGAATATTGTTATTATGTCAGAAATATACTATATATACAACTGTATGAGCTCTAGCTCAATATTCTCTTACCTTGATTTGGTAAAAGTAAGATATAAAGCACATAAAAAACATTGTTTTTGATAGTCACACACTACACTCCAAAAAGTCAACACTGTCTATTTTTTAGGTTCAAAACAATTAGTATTAACTGGAGATACTATTCTTACAATATATCCAGTATGTGCAAACTGTTTTGCAACCAAAATTGAATAAAATATATGGTAGAAATAAGACTGCATTTGTATCAAATAGCAAGGAAAAGCAGAGTAAGAAAAGGATAAAACAGCATATTATGTATTTAATGCCAAAGGTTGTCAATGTTCAATGAAATAATACATTTTAATCTGCATTATTACATTAAAAATTTACTTTTTTCACCTGAACAAGGGACAATGGACCAGCCTTCAAAGTTTTGCAGCTCCCACAGTCAGATTTGATGAGTTTAATATTTGTAGGGTTAGTTTATGCCATACTGCAGACTTACAGCTATATATACTTCATAATAGTACATTTTAGTTGACCCTGACCACATTTTCTCATGGGATGTCTTGCAAGGCATCAGACCCTTTAATAACCTGCTGGCAGATGGCAAAAGATTGACCTTGATCACACTGTGTTGGGGCATGTCGGCATGATAAAACTGGTCACTTTGATGACCTGAGTGAAAACTGGCATATCCCAACATCCAAGAAGCTGCAGCAGTAGTAGCGATGTTTTTCAATATTTAGCTACAGGGTAAGTATCTAGGGATTTTAAGTAAACCTATTAACAAACCTGGTGACTTTTATTAGAAATGAAAATTAAGTGTAATAAGTAGTGTGAAATTGTGAAGTGAATAAAAACACTTATAAATCCATACACAGATACTGAATGAATAAAGAAAGAATTATGTTTCTCATTCTCCCCCCCTCAGGGGGGAGCAAGTGAAAAAGACAATACTTTTAAAATGTGCAGCCAATTTAACACCCCAATGTCATTTCTGGAGTCATGCTATCACCACTTACTACTCCTTTTTTAGCCTTGTACAAAAAGTCTCAAAAATATTCTTCTATAACCACAATTTTTTTTACCTATCAAACAAGTGTAGAATAATAACTAAAGCATAATTATATGAAAATATTTTTATAAAATGTTGTGAAATTTCCTTAATTTTGATAATTATCAAAATAAAATGTACCATTTTGTTCAAAAAAGAACCTAACAGAAGAAAAACATGTGAAAAACTATTAAACATCATACCTGGCTTAGCAATGAACCCTTCACATTCTCTCCAAAACATTCAGAGTTCACCTTTCCAGAACCAAGCATATGAACAAACTTGCACCAATTACGATTACACTGTCCATGCAACCAGAAGGATCGACAATAACCTTTTGGAGTAAAGGCAATACTTCTGATAGAATTATTTCTCCCTCTACCTTTTTCACTGCTGATGATTTTACATCCTTGACTCTTATCTTGTGATTCAGTCACTTTCAGATTTTTCTTGCCAAAATCTGTTAGAATGTTTTTGTTTCCAATTTTCTTAATAATACCTTTTGAACTGTTACTTTCCTGGTTTGCAATTCTTTCACTTTGTTGGATTTTCATTTTCAACCTTTCTGAAGATGTTAAACGAGGATCAGCACAAGGAAATTTATTTGAAGACAATGGTTCGTCTGAAGGAAACTTGAGTCTTGATTTCTCAGCAACACCACTGGAATGATTTTATTAAAGAACATTATGCATACCAAAATATGTGAAAGACAAGAGAAAATTTTAAATGCATATGTAAGTCTTTACAAAAACACTATGCCAAGGTTTTGAAATGTAAATTAATAGCAGAAGTTTTAGAAGTACTTCTCAAACCTATTAAGTAAACCTAGGAGATACTTATTTGTAAACTTGGGCCTTCTTAACAGGACAACCAATTGTGATTATTATTACCATTATTACTAAATTGATTTTATGGTCCTAATTGTCTTAAATCTTAACAACAACTACATCAAAGACATGAAAAACCTTTGATTGTAACTAAGCCTAACTATTAATAAACAGAAGGTTACATTATAATCACACATATACAATTTCTTAATAATAACAACACCTAAATTTATAGTTTTGTAGCATTTCATAAGGAAAATTTAGGAAGCAGAACCCTATGATTATAATTAAGAAAAATATATTAGAAAGTGTCTGATTTTACTACACATACTATTCAAATAATTCTGAGGATAGCATCTATATTTTACTGATTAGAGTCATAATATCTAACCTATATAAGAGCCAGTGTGTGTGTGTGTCACATCACACTTGATTTCTTGAAATAGGAGGAGTCATAAAAGCCAAAGTGCATTTATTCAGATATAATAGTTCAATTACTGTCTGCCCACTATGATTTTAGACATGGGGGTGCAAGGGGTCATGAAGGGGGAGGTGCAATGAAACCTTATATGTGTAGTGAGTGTTGGATCACCTCGCCTACAGTCAAGTACATAAAATTTGTCCTAAAAGTAAAAATATTAATTCAATTTTAAACTTAAATCATTTCTGAATTAAACTATTTTCTGTTATATCACCAACGTTTTTAAAAACCATTGTTGGACCATAGTGTTAACAAAACACACTGTTTATTCTGTATATTTGAAGTTGTTAATCTAAGTGATTTTTACCAATAATTATTCTATTAAATGATCTTAATTTTGGTTGGTTCACAAAGAAATTTACTGCTATTTGACTGCCTTGACTGTACTTTTCTGCCTCTTTGTTGGTCAAGGTTGATTTTGTAAAATTTATTTATTTCAGTTAGCTATGAAATGTGAGGTTAGGGTATACTATGGGGTGGGGGTGGTAGTACTTGCTCTGTCATTTTTATAGGCTATACATTAGTAACATAATATTTAGGGACAACAAGGGAACTATTGGTTCATCTCAGCTGTCCCATCCTCTAAATATGCAGTTCCCAACCTTTTTCTCTTTGTGAAATCCATAAGAAATAATAGTTTTCACAGTGAACCCCTTTAAGCAATAATAAAATAAGTTCTGAATGTGTCAAATTTATTGAAAATAAAAAGTTTCTGCAGCACATAACATTTAACACATTTACAATGAAATCTGAATCTCTGATATTGTCATCAGTTTGCAGTTAATAAACAGTAAATTTGAAACATAAAAAACTGAAAACAAATCCATTTAACCAAACTAATGAGACTTTTGAGCTCGTTTTGAAGAACATAGTGTTTTAAAGTTCAGCTCAACAGAAAAGAGATCTGGTCTTAAATCTGGCTCTGCATCAAGCTATTTCCTTCAGTAAATATTTTAATAAATCAGAAGGAAATTAAAATATTGTTAAGAACTGTAGAACCAGGAAAGTGAAAAAGACACCATTACCATTTCTTACAAACACTACCCCTACGAGTTCATGAAACACTATTCCAAACAAAACTAAAAGTACTAAATAAATAAATTTAAAAAATCATAAAGCCAGCCCTTATCATTCATATAGTTATCAAGCTTTCTTTCAAACTCACTTAATATTACTGCCTCCACAACATCTGAAGGTTACCCATTCCAAAGGCCAACCATCCTGTTAGAAAAATAAAACTATCTTAACTGAAGATGACTCCTACATTGCCAAAGTTTTTATTTGTGTCCTCTAGACTTACTGTTCTCACTGACAAGTATAAAAAAAAGATGATGCATCAACACTATCAATTCTCTTTACAATCTTAAATACCCCAATCAGGTCCTTTCCAACTCTTTCAAGAGAAAACAATTTCAGAGATCTTAATCTCTCCTCATATGACACTCTCTACATCCCAGGCACCATTCTAGTAACCCCTCCTTGAAACTGAACCCTTTCCAACATTTCAATGTTCTTCCTAAGGTAAGAAGCCCAAGATTGGACACAATACTCCAAATGTGGCCTAACCAGTGACCTATACAATGAAATCATATCTTTAGACTTGTATTCACTATTTCTATAGATGCAGCCTAAAATCCTGTTTGTCCTACCACTAGCTGAGATGTTTCAGCATAAGTGATGATAGCTTATTTAGGAACATGAAAACTCAATTTATGGAGTTTAATTGAATATAAAGTATACAATAATAGTATTCTAACTGAAATATCAAAACATTATGTTTGGGGACAATATGGAACCCATCAGTCCATCTCAGCTGTTCCATCCTCTAAACAAAACTGAAACTATTAAATAAATAAATTTAAAAAATATATTAAAGCTAGCCCTTATCATTCATATAAGTATCAAGGCAACCCATTCTAAAGGCTAACCACCCTGTTAAAAAATAAAACTGTCTTAATTGAAGATAATTCCTACCCTACCAAAATTTATACTTGTGCCCCCTAGTTTTACCATTTTCACTGTTAAGTATGAAAAAAGATGATGCATCAACACCATCAAATCCCTTTACAATCTTAAACACTTCAATCAAATTTCCTCTAACTCTTTCATAAGAAAACAATTTCAGAGAGCTTAAGGTCTCCTCGTATGACAACCCCTACATCCCAGGCACCATCCTAGTAACCCTCTTCTGAACCCTTTCCAACATATCAATGTTCTTCCTAAGGTAAAAAGCCCAAACTGAACACAATACTCCAAATGTGGCCTAACCAGTGACCTATATAATGAACTCATATCTTTAGACTTAAATTCAATATTTCTGTAGATACAACCTAAAATCCTGTTTGCCCTACCACTAGCAACAGCACACTTTTTGGATGGTTTAAGAGACTGATCAACTATTACACCAAAATCCCTTTCTTTCATGACACTCTTAACATTATTCCCATCCAATCTATATTTGTAATTCAAATTATGATAACCCACATGCATTATCTTGCATTTATTATAATTAAAACATATCTGCCATTTATTTCCCAACTCAAATGATCTAAGTCCTTTTGTAAAGCAGCAGTATCCTCTTCACAGCTATCAGACATCCAAGATCTTAAAATCATCTGCAAATTTAAGTAATTTACTGACCATTCCTTGATCTAGTGTCATTGATGTAAATCAAAATGAAAAAGAGTCTTAAGATTGAGCCCTAGGGTAACCCACTTGTGACATTAATTCAGTTTGACTGAACTAAATTTATAACAACTCTCTGCTTTCTTCCATCCAGCTACTCTTCTATCTAATTCGCTAACTTATTCCCCACAACTATAGAGATAATTGTTTTTACAAGCCTTTTATATATCACGTTGTTAAACACTTTCAGAAAATCTAGATACACCAAATCTACAGCCTTATCCTCATATACACAAGCAGTATCTTTTTCAAAAAATGTCAAAAGACATGTAAGGCAAGTTTTTCCTTAGTAAAAACCATGTTGACTAACCAATAAAATTCTAAACTTTCTTAAATGACTTTGCAAAGCATATTTTATCAGACTTTCCAAAACTTTTCCCACAACTGATGCAAGACTAATAGGTCTATAATTACTCAGACAATTTTCATTACCTCCCTTGAAAAAGAGGAGTGACATAAGCTAAGTTTCAATCCTTTGGCACTTGCCCAATAACCAAATACTTACAAAAAAATAGTGGCAAGTGGATCACATATCCAATTCTTAACCTCCTTCAAATCTCTTGGGGAAATATTATCAGGCCCAGGAGCCTAATCATTCTTTAAACTTCCCAATTTTTTCTTAACAAGCTCAGAATTAATGTAATCATCCTGTTCAACCTTGTTTCCATCAAGATGAGGAAGAATACTGCTTACATCTTCATTAGTAAAAACTGAAGAAAAAAGCAGAATCTAATAACCCAGCCAGCTCATAATCATCAGCTACAACCCTTCCTTTATCATCCCTCAAGTCTTTTTGTTTACCATTAAAGTATTTAAAGAAATTCTTATTGTTAATTTTTATATTTCCAACCTTTTTTCATACATCATTTTTGATTTCCTAATTTGCTGTTTGATCAACTTTCTTGATCTTCTCTAATCTTCTAAATCTCCTGTCATACCAGTCAATTTAAACTTCCTAAATGTGTGATGCTTTTCTTTAATCTTATCTCTTATACTCTTTGAGAGCCAATCTGGTTTTTTACATGCAGCCACCTTTTTCTTTCTATAAGGAACATGTTTATCTAGAATATTTAAACATTTATCTTTAAAAATGTTCCACATTTGATCAGTGTCTCCACATCTCTCAGCTTCCCAATTCACAACAGATAAACCTTGTCATATCCCTTCAAAATTTGTAACCAAAATATCATAATATCAAAATATGCATGAAAACTCAAAACTAATAGAGCAATGATCATTTGCACCCTTATGTTCAACAATTTCCACCTTCTCAACAATTTCTATATTAGAAATTAACAAGAAATCTAAAATAGCATTGTTTCTAATAGGTTCATTCACCAGTTTACAAAAACCTTTCTCCTTCATGATTTGACTCATTTCCCAATCTATATAGCTGAAATTAAAATCACCCATAATTATGACCTCAATAACAGATGAAACCTTAATTTCACTGTAAAGTTTCTTCCTAATTTCATCAATATCTTCTGTTGATCTGTAACAAATTCCCACTAAAATAATTTTTCTCTTTATATCCACTAAAACATACCCAAATAGATTCAGTATCCTTGCTATTATCTTTGGTATCCTCAAGTTAAACAGGATGTAACTCTCATTTTACATATAAAGCCACTCTTTCCCATCTCTTTAGTACTCTGTCCCTATTATATAATCCATAACCCTGTATTTCAAAGAAATTTCTGTCATCAATATCATCTATTAGGTTGTCAAGAAATTAATATCGCTTTTTTTAGATGAAAACCCAAACAACTTATATATCAAAACAAAACATTTAGTAAATTAAATAGTCTCTATTCTTATCAATGATGCTTTTCCATCTTACA